AACTCAGAATTCGGTTCCCCGGGAACCGAATTCTGAGCACAAAAAAAAGAAAAAAAAAATTTTGAAGCTCAGAATTCGGTTTCCGGGGAACCGAATTCTGAGTGTGAACAGTAAATGGTTCTAGTTGTGTAAATAAAGTTGTTCAGGTGTTATTTTGGTAAATTTTTTTTAAAAAAATATTATTTACGTTAAAAATTCACGATTCTGGCCGATTGTGTTTTAGTTTCTTTCGGTTTCTATTTCTATTTTTGGTAAAATATTTCAGTTTTTTTTAAGTTTTTCTTTCACTTTTGCTTTGCCTTCCACTCATTTAATTTAAAATTATACTGTTGATTGTTCTTGAACAATTTTCTTATAAATTGTTACAAGGGCCAAAATAAATTTTAATTTAAATTATACTTTTAATTCTTATATAATATTTAATTTATAATTTTGGTCTTTCAATTTTTAATTTGTGTAATTTTAGTTTCTCAAATTTATAAAATATGTAATTTTGGTTCAACAAACCATTAAAGTTATAATATTGATATTGACATTAAGTAGATTTAGACTAAATTGTATTTTATTCTACATTTTAACCGCACAAAAAGTAACAAAATGAGATGAAACGATGATAAAAAATATAATTTAGTTTGAATATTATTAAATATTAATTTTAGTATTATCTACTTAATTTTAATGTTAAAGGTTATGATAATTATTTAACTGTTTTATCAAAATTATAAATTTTATAAAATTAAAAGTTGAAATTGTATAATTAAAAGTCAGATTAAAATTGAGAATTGAATAATAAAGAGGATAAAAATTATAATTTAATATAACATTTAACGCCCTCTCAAAAAAAAAATCTAATATTTAACAATAGTATAAAGTGAGTTCTATGATGATTTTGGTAATGTGGTCCGATTATAAAGATTACTTTTTTTTAATTACATTGAAATTAATTGAATTAGCGCTAATTACATTTATATCATACTTGCTTTGTATATTACACTGAACTTCCCTTTAAATTGTTTTGAAAATTAGATCAAATATTTTCAAATTAATGGGTTTAGGTATTATTTTGGTATGAAACTTTCTCTAGAAAGATTTAGTGGTTGTCTTAGTCAAAGTATTGAGTGAGTGTAAATATGAATTTCTTTTAGGTTAAAGAGTCCTTATATATTCACTAAGGTAATAATATTATGGACGTGAATATTTTATTTCTTTTTATGATCTCTTAAATCATGTTATATCATTATTATCATTAGTAGACAAATAAATCTTAGTATTTATGATTATTATTGTGTCTATTTCGTAAATTATAGTGCCTTATCTCGACTACTCGTGAAAATGGTTTAAAAATTAATCAAGTTTTGTTATGAGGTGTATTTGACAAATTAACGACCCATCAATAAGAGGGTTGGGTCGATTCACTCAATCTATAGGAGACCGTTATGATACACAATCTTTTAAGTTCGAGTACTAAAAATGTGAAAAGTTTAAGTAATTGAACTATTTGATCATTGAGAGACTGATATGATATACAACCCTTTAAGCTTGAAAATGTGAAAAATCAATGTGCTTTGTTTCACTCAATCAACACGAGATTCACATGTTATAGATATAAAAATAATGCATAAAATAAAAAATTGTGTAATTTTCGGAACAAGTGGGCTGTAGCTCTAAAGTATAATTGGCATTAATTTTAAGAGGTGAGGTCCACGTAATTGGTTGATACTTTATATTCGATACCTTTGTTTTTTTTTTAAGCTAGCGTAATCTCTGATGAGAGTTGATGGATTCATTATTCAAGGCTTTTTACTTTTAGAGCTTTTTTTTTTCTTTTTCATTTATCTGTTAATTTTAATACTATTTAAAGATAATTAATTTTTTTAATCAATTAGATTAACACGTAGGGATGTGAAAAAAAATTCGTACATGTGGATATCTGAAATAAAATTTACAATAAATAAAAATAAATATTATAAATGAGTATCCACAGGTAATATGTACGGATATTTTTTTTACCTGCATGTTAATGAGGAGGATACAAGTATCATAGTATCTGTATCTGTAGATTTATGTACCCGTTAGTATTCAATTTATTTAAAATTGTATGATTTTGATTTTATTTGAAATAAAATTTTTGAGAGAGCTTTGTTTGAACTTATAATAGTTAAGTATTGTACTTTATGATCTTTTATTTGAATTTATGTGTAATCGAAATATTTTATTTTAATAATTATTATTTAAACTTTAAATTTATATGGTTGAATGTTTAAAATTTATTTTTTAAATTTACTTATTATTATTAGTATAATTGTGAAAAATAATTTAATTTTAGTTTTATAACCTTTAAAAAAAATTTTGGGAAGATTTTATTTGAATTTTAGTTATACTCTTCAAACTTTTTTATGTATATTTTATAATTTTTAAAAGAAAAAATTATTATAAATAACTAAAATGTATGGTTAAAATATTTTATTAAATATTTTTAAGACATTCTTTTAATAAATATTATTAAATATTTATGAATATCTGCATATATTAAAATAATATGTAAGTACCTACTCAAAGGATACCAAAATTAATATAAAGTAGATATTTATTTGATGAAAAAGATAACATAGAGCTATTGTCCGTACTTACCATATCCTATTAACATCCCCATTAACACACGTTAAAACATAATTAGGACCGTATTCTAACTCTCACTAATAAATCCACCATAATAGTTCGATGGAATCTCTCTAACGAAATCATTATAAAATCAAATTGCAAATATCATAAGAGAACTATCATGTTTAAAAAAAAGAAAAAAGCAAAAAGACAACTAACATGTTGTGACGATCACGAAACAAATCACGGCTTCTACGTAGATAGGTGGCCGAAATTAGAAAGGTGTCTATTATTCCTCTTTCCATCGGTAATTAATGGCCGTAAATTAAAATAGAATCGGATGAGGAAAGACCCGTAAGCAGCGAGCTACATAGACAAAAGGATAAAAAAAAAATTAAAATGAATTAGAATTAGAAGAATATCACTTCGCAACTCACAAGAAACCAAATGCACTTGAAAAAAATTGACAGAAAGAAAATATCACTTCACTGCTCATAAGGAATCAAATTCTCTCTCACTCTCTTGTTTCCTTTTGCTTTTAAATATATTTAGATACAAATTTTGAAGGATTTTTAACAATTTCTTTTAAAGTGATAAAATAGATTTTTTTTTGTACGAAAAAAGAAGAAAATAACAAAGAAAACCAACCTCTCTGAAACACGGTCTCCAGAAAGTCGGCTAGTAATAAACTAGAAAGAGTCATATGATGTTATTTTAAAGTGATAAAATAGATTATGACATGCAGATTAACTCGCCAAAATTGATAAAATAGGATGGATATTTTAATTCACTTAGCTTGCCTATTAGCCGGTCAAATGTTAAGATTGGTGAGTTGAGTTGTCAGGCTATTTAATTAAATTATTTATATTTATATTATAATTTATGTTATGTATTGTTTTATGTTGTGGTATAATCTTATTATTAAAAAATTATTAGTACTTGTATTATAGTTCTTAAGAACTATTATAATTTTGTTATTGAAAGATCATTAGTAGTAATTTTGATTGAAGAAGAAAGATTATTAGTAATTTGTAATTTATTATTTTTGTGTTGTAATATTGAAGTTGAAAAATAAATTTGAGTCATGGATCTTTTAATTAAATTTGTTGATTTGAATTAATTGAAAAAAAAAATAATTTTGCGGGCCAATCCATCAACTTGAACTTAAGTAGAATGGATTAGGATTTTTAGTTCACTTTCAGCAAGCAAGTCAATCCTTTCTACCTTATTTTTTACGACAACGACAGGACATCCCAAATCATAATAGATTAACTTGTTTTTATCACCCTTTGTTTCTTTATTGAAAATAAGTAACTTTTTCAATAAAAATGTTTCAAGAAAAAACTCTTTTA